TGATAATAAATTAAAAAAAAAAAAAAAAGGAGCCCATGGCTGCATTTTGAAAGTAGAGGTTTTTTTTAAGCAATGAGACACGCGGAGGGCATTTAGGAAGACCCATTCTGCTAAGCCAGTATTTGCGATTTTCATGCCCACTTCGTGACAGCCTGTACAACATGCTTGCCCCTGCAGTTTTGGGCCCTTAATGTGAGATTCCATGCACACGCTTACAAATATGCACCCTTCATATTTGCATATGCTGCATTCCAAACCCTCTGGTCCTTACTTGTCCTTATTGAGAATAAAAACTGGGTTGGGGATTTGCATGCACGCACAACCTGCACGGTTCATCTCTGAGCTCCCCAAAGTTGGGGAAAGAACTGGTTGTGCACCAGGAGATTTTTTTACTTTTCAGCTTCCAGAGTACAGCTGACACCCCAGCAAAACAGGTGTTAGACCATCCTTACCTTTAGGGAATCAAAGCAGGCAATAACGCGTCCGTTTTCCACGTGGCAGCTCCGGGAAGGATGAGCAAACTTGCACTCCGTGTCAGAACGAGAGCAGGTTCCTCGCTGAAATTCCCGACAGACTTCCAATGTCAGCCATTTTGTATCACGAACCAAAGAAACGTTCAGAGCCATATTAAAAAAAACTGCCCCCAAAAGGGGGTAAAAAGGGGAGGAAGAGGGAAACACAAAGTTCTTCAGGTGAATACTAATGATTTTTTTTTTTTGAAGAGGGGGGAAAACGTGGGGGGATTTCTTTATCAAAAGGAAATTCAAGTTAAAAATGTGAAGAAATAACTTGTTGCTTTGGTAAAATTTCTATTCGTCAGCACTTAGGTTTCATCAAACTCAAATTATGCTTGTCGAAAAGAAAAGGTTAAACTTTTAGCCAATCATAAAATAGAAATCTCATCAGAATTAACTAAAAAATCAAATTAGAGGCCAGCTCCTAAAAGTGCAATTGTCAAAGTTAAAATAGAAATGTTATATATTTATATATGTTTTTATATATATATGTGTGTGTATATATATATATATATGTATATATATGTGTGTGTATATATATATATATTTGTGTGTGTGTGTGTGTGTGTAATGTTTTGTGCCACTGCCAAAATTATTTCAAAACAACTTGCATTCCTCTATTACTCCCTCCTCAAAGGTTTCTGTGCTCTCAAGTTACGGGTTTCAACTATCTTCACAAAACCAAACCAATCCAAGAAAATACAGCTGCGGCGGTACAGACTGAGCAGAATGGTTTTGTTTCTTGGCAGAGAAGAAATCTTTAGCAAGTTTCTATCCTTTCATCCTGTGCCTGAAACATTTACAAAGCTGCAAGTATTAATACCGGTGGAAGAAATGTTTTTTATTTCCTTCTGTTTGTTTTGTGTTTTTCTTTTTTCTTTTCTTTTCTTTTCCAGAATCAAGTTTGTTACATATTTGGGAAGGGGGGCACAAAGATGGCTGAGCAAACCAAGTGGAAAAAGGGAAGGAAAAAGAAAGGTGGCTGTCGAACTGCTGGCCAAGATGCGCCGCAAGCAACGTTGGGCTTCTTTCAAAAAAAAGGAAAAAGGAGGAAGAGATACACGGAGTGCGTGGATCGTGCACACTCTCTATCCCCTTTGGAATGCAAGTGAGGAAAAGTCCAAGTCAGGGGTCGAAGCAGCTGTAGCGATGCCAGTTTCAAAGAAGGCACTTTTCAGCAACCTGTAGAAAAAAAGAAGAAATACCAGCTCAGTCATGAGGGATCCTCACACACCCAAATCTCACCCGGAGAAGCCCCTGGACATTCAGTTTAACAGAACCTCTCCATCCCTGATACAGCAGCAAACTGAAGTCAGCCATTGTCTGATATTGGTCTTTTTTTTTTTATTGCAAAAAAGGAGAGAGAGAAAAGAAGGGCATTTCCTACAAGAAGCTGCACATGGTAAGAGGAAGCAGCCAATTACATTTCTCCTTGCAACCAAACGTCTGGGCAGACAACCAATAGAGGACCTTGTTCCATATTCATCTCATCCTGGCACACATTGGCTCTCGTTTCCCCAGCTGGTTCATGCTCGCCTCCCCCTCCCTCCCTCCTCTGTGCCAGTGTATGGAAAATGCCTCTGCCTGCTGTCCCAATGAACACCCCTGGTGCACTGTGAGGTGTCTCTGGATTGCCTGGTCTCTATCTGAACATGCTTCTGGCACATGGAATGGGTGTCATCACCCATCACCCCTCCTTGGCTCTGCAGACATGCTGGAAATGGCTCCGTTGCTCTCTTGACCCTCCCGTCACCCACCAAATCCAAACTTATACTCCAGAGTGGTTGGGGGGCAGGGCGGCGGGAGAAGAATGGCCACAGATTGGAGCTTGACAAAAAAATTGGGTGGGGAAGTCATGATGCCAGGGGTCCAGATAGACAAAGGAAAAAGCAACGGCCGTTCTCCTGGCGAGTGGCTGCTGGCTTCTGCGCTCCTGCTTGTTTACGGAGGGCCTGGATTGTGTGGCCTCAAGAAGGCATGGGGGGAGAGCCCTTGATAACCATTATGCAAGCTAGCCTCTATTTCACATTTAACCCCTTCTTGCTGACACAGAAGCTAAGTTTTAGGATAAGTGACAAGGTCCTTCCTTCAGCAAGTGTTTTCTTTTTCCCTTTCCTGGAAAAACCAGCACAACAGCACACGGAAATTTCAGCCTTGACCGGAAGAGAAAGGGGGATGTTTCTTTTCTTCTCAGAAAATTCACCCTTGTAACCACTGAACTTTGCAGCAACAATCTCTTCTCCAGCTCTGGCTTTTTTGCCATACAACCATGAGTCAGGTTTTCCTCTCAATGCAACACGTGCAACTTCAGAGGGAGGAAACAGTGTTGTTTCTAAAGGGGGAGGCCGTTGTCTGCAATTCTTCTCCCTGACCGCCAAACAGAGCACTTCAGAAAAGCTTGGATAAACTGACCCGAGGATCGATCTATTTCCCAATCATGGGTAGCATCCTGATGCACTGATTTCAGCCCTCCAGAATTCTGAGTTATGGCAATCCTGGCTAGAAGCGAGTTCACCTGTACCCATGTTGCAGTTCTGCTCCTCACCAAATGTCTCTAGGAGATCCATCAACAAAACCAGCAACATTAGCCTAACTTGTTTGTTCTCAGCATCTGGCATTCAATAGTTACTGCTACTGGACTGCCCTAGTTCCCAATCATGATGACAAGGCACAGCCTAAGAGGAGCCCCGACGGACATGGCCAAGAGTGAAGTTTGGTTTCGTGGTGTCTTTCCCCTCCCTTGGGAGTGAGGGAACCATTAACACAGTCCACCCTTGGAGTGTTTTGGAATCTGATGGATTGTTGAATGCAATTTCCAGAAGCTAGAGGTACTTATATCATTGGGGAAGCAAAACAGGGCACTGGTAAGATCACCTTGAGGGTCTTATTCATTGCTCTGGAGCCCTAGCTTCTCCCAGGTCCTCTGGGGAGCTCAGGACAGTGAGAAGCCAAAAGACAGCTGGAGCACAGCAGGGAAAGTTCAGTACGATGCCAGTCAAATGAAGTGCTCACAGCTATGCCTGCAAAGATAGTTTGAGGTCTCTACTGCATCCTCAAGTAGCCAACTGCAACAGTCAAAGACCTGTTACCTGCTCCCCACCACCATTATGTTGACCTTCTCACAGACCTGCTGTGATAGATTGGCGAGGCCCTCTGAAGATAAAATGGCTCAACTTCATGCTGACCAGATGATGCAATACATATTGATGTATCTAATGCACCATCTGGCGTAACCAGATCAATCCCTTTCAAGATTTGGACCAAATGCTTGTAGTTGTCTGACCTACCCTATGCTCTTCAGCCTCTTCCTCACCTTGGCTTATTCCAGCAACCTGAGGATGGTGACTGGATGAATCTATGGAGGTGTGAATACATCTTTGTGGGACGGAGTGATATCACCAGCCTTAAAGAAGGCAGCAACCTGTCCCCTCTTGAAGAAATCCTCGCCAGATCCAGAGGACTATGTCAATTACTGCCCAATCCTAAATACTCTGTTTTGCGGGGAGAAGGTGTGTCTGTGCAGCTGCACATGTTCTGGAGAACCCAATTATACCCTTTTCAATCTGGGTTCAGGCCTGGTTTGGAGACACTCAGTCACCCTGATGGATGATCTCTTATGGGAGAGGGACAGAAAAGCACAATTCATCATGTTGAAGGTTCCTGTAGTACTTCTTTCCAACAAGTACATGAGAAGAGGGGTGGAGAGTTGGGAAAAAAGTGGGCGCAGCCCTGCAAACAAGTCGCAACAGGCTGCTGGGTGGGTTGGAACAAGGTGGAATTCTTCTAGGAATCACACCCATCTAAACCAAAGCAAGAACTGGGCAGCTTTTATTGAGAGTAGGCTTTTCATTTGAATCAGAATCCATGGGTGAAGGCCTTCTTCCAGCCTTCTACAAAGCGACAGGCCCCTTCACAACACCTATGGTTCCCAGCCAGCAGCTTCAACTCAGGATCATGGATGCTGTCTCTTCATACATCCAGAGGGCACCAAGCCAAGGACGTTTGCTCTAGATGGCTTGCTGCTGAAATATTTAAGAAACCCACTGTGTATTAGTTGCCTAACTTAGACAGCTTGGCCTCACTTTTCTCTGATTACCTTGGGAAAACCTTTGCTTTTAAGCTGACATTTGGCCTGTTTAATTACTCAGCCTTTGTGCAGCTGGAGGCTGGTACCTGGGCAGTCAAAATGGGCCACTTAGAGATGGGGGGGGCTATAAGCAAATACAAAGCCTGTATTACTAAGATATATGGAAATATGGGGGAGGGAGAGCCATCTTTTTAAAGAGCCCAATAAACTAACCATGCTGGGTGGCCGTGCCATGGTGACCAGCAGCAGTGGGGTTAGTACACCCATCAGTAATGGACATGACATCAGGATCCCAACATTGGTTTTATTGTACGCCACCCAATTCACATGAAGATAAAAGAGGGAGGAAGGGAAGCACATTCGGACTTGCAAGATTCTGTTACTACAACTGTTCTAATAAAAGCAGTTTTAGGTCTACAGAGTGTCTGTCTCTTAGTCTGGGCTACCTTAGTCTGGGCTGACACCAATCTTTTAATCTAGATGAGCTTCCCTTCCTTTATTAAAATAAAAATGTGAATTAAGGGGGGACGGCTGTTTGGGTCATTTTCACAAACCACTTTCTTGGCTGGGCTCAAGCCTCCTTTACCTAATTGTTGCCTTGGTAGCAAATCTTTCTTCTGTCCTCTATATTCACTACATACTCCAATCAACCTCACAGGGCTGTGGTGAAGGGGAAGGCCTAAGTCACATCCGTGTGCACCATTCAGAAGTCAACAAAGGAAGGGTGGTTAAAAAAAATCAACTCAGTAATGAATATATTGTGCCAAGTTAATCTTTCTTTCCTTCTCTACCCAAGATTAACCTCCTACATTTTGAGGAATCTCCACAAGAGAGGATGAAGGGCAAGGAATGATGCAGTTTTGGCAAATCTAAGCTTCTGGCATGCAGGAGAGCCAGAAGCTTGGGATAGTGCCCAGCAACTGACGGGCAAACAGAGATCATGTATAAGCATCTGCAGGACATGGTAACAGCCCTCTTTCCTCTCTTCTCCTTATTTCCAGAAAACACATTCCTGCTTAAAACCGAAGGAGCCACTCTGTTAACACAAACACTTCACAGGCCGGATAGACACTTGGAATACTTCTCCGTGAACACTTTGTACCCAAACACTTCCCCTCTCTGAGGAAAGTTTACTTAATTTAAAAGGTAAAGTTTTGGCAACCTACGAGTTTTTTTTTTTTTTAAAGAAAAGCACTTTGGTTGTTTAACCTGGCTCCTGCCCCAAAGATGCATGTGCCTGAAAGTATGGTTCAAGGAACACAGCCAAAGGATGTCAAAGGCATGGCCAGGATGGCAGGGAATCAGCTCTAGTGCAACACCCTCGACCCACATTGGAGGCCACAGCCACACCCTACGGCTCTTCCCCTGCACTGCAGCAGACCGTCCCCAAGAATCCGG